CCCTGTGGGGCAGTTCTACTCTGCTCTATAGGGTTGCTGTGAGTTTGAATCGACTCAACTGCATTGGGTTTATTGCATCAGTTCAAACACAAAATAAATCATGTAATTGTAATAGCAGGTACAATTGACGCAAACACATTCTACCTTTGATAAACATAAACCCAGTGATAGGAGCAAAAATAATACTAGTAGTCTACTGGTCAAAATACATGTGTACCAAAGTTGCTAGTTGGTTTCACTCAAGAAACAGAGAATATTGGTTAGTTGTGTTAGTTGAATGAAGGTTGATTAAGGGCTTCTTCTTTTCCATAATTTTAGATAATCATTCCTTGATTGGTAGACATTTAAATTGTTTCCAGCCTTTTGCTTCCTGCAGTGAATCAACAAAAATTCTTAGCATTTTGTGTGCAAACACATGGGAATGTTTATCTGGATGATCATTTTTTCTTTTTCCATTTTAATAAATTTGCTGGAAGGAATCTTAAGTGAAAGTATTTTAATGCCTAATTTTCAATATTTACTGTGGTAGTAAAGTAAAAATTGGTGACATCTACTTCTGTAGTGATCCCGCCTTGGAAACCCGAGGAGCGGTTGCTATGAATCAGATCGGTTGCTATGAATCAGATCCGATTCCGCCACAGTGAGTTTGTTTTTAGTTTGTTTTTTTGTTGTTGTTATGTGTCGTTGAGTTGGCCCCAGCTCATAGTGACCCCTCCTTGGGTTTCCGAGGCGACATCACTACAGAAGTAGATTGCCCAACCTTCCTTCCGAGGAGTGGCTGGTGGGTTTGAACCACCAGCCTTCTGGTTAGTAGTCCAGTACCTTGGTTTGGTTTAGTAAAGTAAAAATTGGTAACCATTTTGTTCTTCTAAAACTAACCAGTTCCATTTTTTTCTTCAATTTGATTTGTAAAGAAGAAAAACTATGTTCATTTGAGTCATAAATACATTAATAGGATGCAGGGCACTGAGTCATAGAATTCCAGACATCTCTCACATGTAAATGACTCACTTGTATGTGTGAATTATGTGTGTGGCTTATCTTGTGCAATAGATATGTTTCTCAATTTGACTAGGTCTGATCTAACACACCAGTGAAGTTTGCTGTGTGGATGAGTAACACTGAAAAGCTTTAAGCAAAAGATCCTTTTGTTAAATAATTAAATAGGAAACTCATCTTTCAATCATGAAATTTTAGTGGTTCTATGTTAGCTTTTCAACCACTGTTTGTTGAGTAATTTCTGTGCAGAGCATTCTGTTTGCTGAGGTTTATATTGGAATAAAAACATGATCTTGTGGAAATTATTTGTGGTTAGTGATACAAGAATTTGTAACTTACTAAACAATACTAATAGCTACTATACCAACCTCCCTTTACTGGAGTGTACCCATCACTGTTATAAAGACTAAAACAATATCACCAATACACTAAAATTGTATGAAGGTATATATTACTTCTGTAGTAATACTGCCTCGGAAACCCAAGGAGGGGTCGCTATGAGTCGGGGCTGACTCGACGGCAAATAACAACAACAACGTTAAGAGAACAATACTGATTATACATTACACACATCATTATATATTATAGTTAAGCCTTTTTTGGGAGGGGGGGGGGATTGTTTATAGCTAGTTTTAACACCTCTTTTGCCTATTTTATCGTTAGTTGACATTGAGTCAGTTCCGACTCATGGTGACTCCATGTCTTCAGAATAAAGAACTGCTCCATAGAGTTTTCAAGACTGTGACCAGATTGCTAGGCCTGTCTTTAAGGTACTTTGTGATGAGTTCCAGCGACCAACATTTTGGCTAAGAGTTGAGCACTTAAGTATTTGTGCCATGCAGCTGCATTAAAAAAAAAAAAAAAACATGCAGTAACTCCCCGTTTTTTTCTAACCCCTGGTAACCACTAATAAACTTCCCCCTCTATAGACATACTTGCCAATTTTAGATATTTCATATATGTGGGATCACAAAATATCTGTCCTTTTGGTCTGTACGTGTAGTAGTTAAAGCATTCAGCTGCTAACCAAAAGGTCAGTGGCTTAAACCTCACAAGACGCTCCACAGGAGGAAGATGTGGCAGTCTGCTTCTGTAAAGATAAAAGCCTTGGAAACTATGGGGCAGTTCTGCTGTATCCCATGAGTCAGAATTGACTCAGTGGCAGTGTATTTTGGTTTTTATTTAATTCAGTGTAATGTTTTCAAGGTTTAGCTGTGTTATCGCACATAATCAACACTTCATTTCTCTTTATGACTGAATATTCCATTGTATGTATATACCACTGTCTTAGTTGCCTAGTGTTACTGTAACACATATACCACAAGTGAGTGGCTTTAAAGAACAAAAATTCATTTTCTCATAGATCTGGAGGCTAAAGCCCAAATCAGAGTCCAGGCTGTGTGAATTCCTTCCTTGTGGATAGCCCCAAGAGTTCTTTGGTTTCTTGGTGATCCCTGGCTTGTAGATGATCTTCACATGGCATCTGTCGTCCCTTGTGTATGTCTCTGTGCCTGTTCTGGTTTTTTGATAACTCAGAAGTGATTGGGTTTAGAACCTACCCTGTTGTTATATGCCATCGAGTCGCACCCAACTCGACTCATAGCAACCCCTCCTTGGGTTTCTGAGGCAGTATCACTACGGAAGTAGATTGCCCCATCTTCCTTCCGAGGAGTGGCTGGTGGGTT